CAGAAAATTGCAAAAAATCGCGTACTCTGATGTAATAGTAAGTCGGGGTGTTACAGCAGTGTACAACCTGTCCAGTCTCTCGTCGTGAGTCTACCCAGGGCGGTGAAGAGAGAGAGGTGTCTGTCAACCTGCAAAATGATGTGAGCACAAGAAAATATAATATCCCTATGCTTAGCGTTATTCCTTTCTGTCCAGGTGGACCATAGGATCAGACAAGGAACAAGGAAACCCACGTGTCTACTGTGTGTCACGGTGTGAGAAGAAACTTAGTAGCTCAAAAAAACTGTCTGTAGTGGGTAGGGGTATATGAGTATATCTGGCATAGTGCTCCCACACTCTCCTCACAATCTCACTCTTAAGGAAAAGATGGGTGAAAGTCTCGTTCTCAAAGGTACCGGTCTCAACACAACAATTGCAACGGGAGGGGAAGGAGAACCCTCTCGCCTGCATCACAGTGTCAATGGGAATGCGCCGTAATAGGAGACGCCACAAAAACACAGAAATGGTCGAGGTGAAAAGGTCGGTCCATATGGCCCCAAAGAAGAGGTTAGGCCGGTTGCCCAGCCTCACATCTCCCCAGGCTGATGACGTAGAGAATGCACCCGAAGATGTAAGTCTCCACCTCATGCCATCCAAACCTCCCTCCTGAATGGGAATCTGTCGGATCTGTCAATCTCTAGACTACTGAAACCCCCACCCTCACTAAGAATATCCTCCATCTTATCTCTATCCCAAAATCCCCCCGTCCAAAGGTCCTTCACCTGCATGAAAGGCAAGTGAGTGACTGGCCTAGTACTCGAGAGAGGAGCCTCGCCGAACCACCACTCATGCCAGAAGCTAACCTCCCCAGAACTCAAGGTCCAAAAAATGTGCTTCTGAGCACGCCTGCCAACAATGGTGAGCCGTCTCCACTGTAGACTATCTCGAGCAGTGGTTGTCACCCTGCAAGGATGAGCAGCTCCACCAGGGCAATATTTTCTCAGGAGGTATTGCGCCCAATGGGACTTGCCCTCCCTAAGGCGCCACCACATCCTGTAAGAAAACACAGTAACAACATCAGAGAAACGCCGAATCCCGAGCCCACCCTCAGAATGGGGACGACAGGTAACAATTTTGAACCCTCTTGTTATTCGGGTTGGGCTGGGCCCTGGTTCGTCGATGTAGGTGGGGGGAATGCCGATGTCAGCCCTAGGTCATAGAAGGGGCCTCGGCCTAGTAAGCCCGCCGATGGGGAGTTGGGTGCGCCATGGCCGGAGTTGGTTGTGTTGAGGTGCTTGGGCCATGTCGTGGCTTGGGCGGGCTGAAAAGAGTCTGGTGGTGTGTCTTGCTTCGAGTCGGCCGAGGGATTCGCGTGAGGAAGAACCTGCGAGGACGGGCCATCGCTCACTTGGGGGTTACCGGCGCTGTTGCCGGTGTCGGAACAGAGCCGCCGACCAGTAGGGCGGAGAAGGTCGCCGGCATGATTAAAGCAGTTGAGGGATGATGGGTTGTCTTGGGAAGAGTTGGGCTTGATGATTTGTGTCCAGTCAAATGGGTTGGGATAGAAATCTGGTGGTTGGGCCTGGGGATTGATGGGTTCGGTTGGCCTGATGACAGATGGGTAGGATGTGTTGGTGAATTGGGTAAAGAGAGGTCATGAAGTGAGTTGGGTAAAGAGAGGTCAAGACAGATGGACACGGGCAGCGGTGCCAACACTGCTAAAAACTGAGATGGACCGCAGAGGATGGGGTGACGCCAGGGCGGAGCGGCGTTGTAGCAGCTTTAGATGGGCCCGCAGACGTTGGGTTGTCGCCAGAATGGGGCCTACCATGAGCCGGCGGGCCTCTTGATCGAGGGCAGAGAAGTGTGTCGGTCGGAGCTAGGGCAGCTCTGAGGGCTTTCTTGAAATTGGTTGTCCAAGAGGTGACTTTGACATGGAAGTCGCCGGAAGATGGGAAGTGGAGTCTGGTCGGAAAGGCCGAGGAGGCCAGGATCTGGGAGTGCGAAGGGGAGGTCATGGAGGAGAGGGAGAAAATAGGGTTGGTCGGGGAAGACAAAACAGGCGGGCCTCCCTAAGCCGAGCAGCTTGCCGCCAGCGAAGGCGGACGCCGGAAAGAGCCTAGTGGAGGTGGTCGGGAAGGTGGTGAAGGTGGGTGAGGAAGAAACGAGGAATTGGTTTAGAGAGAGAAAGTTTAGAGAGATGTGAGAGCACATTCTTAACATTGAGGAGGTATGGGATGAAGTTGAACCCAACTAAATGTTCGTTCGGGGTAAAGTCAGGAAAATTTTTGGGTTATTTGGTGACCAAGAGGGGTATCAAAGTGAATCCAGAAAAGGTGCGAACGGTGATGGAAATGAAACCACCGACGAGTGTTAAAGAGGTGCAGATCTTTGCTGGTCGAATTGCGGGGTCGAGTCGATTTATTTCAAAGATAGCAGAGAAGAGAGGCCCATTATTCAAAACATTGAAAAAGAATGCAAAGTTCCAATGGACAAATGAGGCTCAGTGTGCATTTGAGGAGTTGCAAGGAGTGTTAGCCAACCTGCCATTGTTAGCTAAACGGTTCAAGGAGAGGGTTTGGTGTTGTACATTTCTATTGGAGAGAGGGCTGTGAGTTAGGTGATGTTACGAAAGGAAGGGATAGCGCAATTTTTCATTTATTATGTGAGTCGGGTGATGCAGGGAGCCGAGATAAGGTATTCAGAGATTGAGAAGTGCGCTCTGGCGGTGGTCGTAACTACTCGAAAGTTGAGGCCTTATTTCTTGGGTCATAAGGTGAAGATGCCGACAAACATGCCTTTGGGGGAGACGCTCGGGCGACCCTCAGTTTCTGGTCGATTGGTGAAATGGGCGGTCGAGCTGAGTGAATATTCATTGATGTATGAGCCGAGGAGGGCCATTAAGGCGCAGGTGCTAGCAGACTTTATCCAGGAAGGTACAAAGATGGGGGGAAGAATTTGGAGGAGTTTGGCAATTATTTGTGGATGGATCGGTGGCGAGAAGTGGAGCGGGACTGGGAATCGTCCTTGTTTCCCCTAGGGGCGACAACTTGGAATTCGCGGCTAAGGTGGGATACAGGGTGTCCAATAATGAGCCTGAGTACGAGGCGGTAATCAAAAGATTACAATTTGCTATGTCCGGAGGAGCTCAAAATGTACAAGTGCATTCTGATTCTCCATTGGTAGTTGGGCAGTTTCAGGAGGGATTTAACGTCAAGGAAGATAGGATACAGAAGTATGTTAATACGATGAAGAAGTTGAAATAGGAGTTCGATTCATTTGAGCTGATACAGATTCCTCGAGGGGAGAATGGTCGAGCAAATTTCCTGTCGAGGATTACCCAGAGCCTGGTGGACTGTAAGAGTAGAAGTGTGACTTTGTTGCATTTGGAGCGAAGTGTGGCCGAGGCGGAGGTAGTTGAGATCGAGGAGGTTGAGGATTGGAGGTCCCCGATCCTTTGAGAGTTGAAGGAGGGGGCAACGAAGGTGGTGAACAGGTTTTTCGAGCATGAAGGCATTCTTTATAAGCGGTCGTATGTTGGACCGCATCTGCGGTGCGTGACCAAGGAAGAGGGCCGATACGTGATAAGAGAAGTGCATGAAGGGTGTTGAAGTGACCATAGCAAGTCAGGGGCTTTAGTGGAGAAGATCCTGAGGGCAGGGTATTTTTGGCCGACGGTGAAGGAAGATGCCAAGGAGATAGTGAAGAGATGTTTGCAATGCCAGAAGCATGGCCCATTGATTCACCAGCCGGCAGAGACGATGACAACAATGAGTGCCCCAATTTCGTTTGCCCTGAAATTTTATACTTGAACACCAAGTATCCAGAGTTGCATGAAGATAGGACAAACAGACAGTAAAGAAGATTCAAACAATCGCAGAAGCAATTTTCACTATAAATTGAACCTTCAGGAGAGCGTGCCACTCTCCCTTCAGATCTCTTTCATTAATGTGAACAACTCATACATCATCTGTGACGCCCCGTTTATTTATGAATAATTGGATATTATTTTCATTGTTATTATTATTATATTTATTGCTATTAATGTGTATAATTGTATAAGTGTTTTAAATGTGCCTAATATGTGTATTATAAATATTAAATGTGTGTTATAATATTTTTAATATTTTAATTTATTTTATTTTTATTTTGCGTAGAATTGAGCCCGATTTTTATTTCGTCGAACCAAGCTTATGTTCGAACCCCCGAGCC